CCGGAGCGCGCTCCATTCGGACCCTGGTCCCCTGCACTGCCTACGCAGGTGAGGAGGGCGCGGGGAGCCGGGAGGACACGGCCGCAGAGGGAGTCTTTGTTTGGGTGCCTTCGGGGTCATGTAAATGGAATGGAGCTCCCGAACCTAACCAGAATAAAAAGAATCCAGAGTGCTAGTTGATTCCAGGTGTGAGTGATTGTTCAGAGTAACCACACGTTGTCAGCTTCTCGACACCTTTTTCCTACCTTTGAGTTGTTGTAGCGTTTGATATTTTGAGTCGTTTTTGTAGTATCATTGCCCCTCACCTTTGGATTTGCGCACTTAAATTTCCGCACCCCCCCATATGGTGGGGTGCGGAAATTTAAGTTATTAACTGTGCAAGCTTCGCGAATTAGAAGGTACTGTGCCAACACAGTATAGAAACAAACCAAAAACGGAGTTGTGTTTAGCTGGTATTTCTCAGAATCCTTTAAACGTCTTTGTGGAGAGGTAAACGTATTGACTGAAATTATTGGAGCTGGTCGATGCATCTTGCAAAGTGGCCGTATTTTTCCAGAAAACAGTGCGAGATCTGTACCTAACATGATTATGTAGGTTGGTTAGAAACAGAAACAGAATGATTTGCCGAGGATGTGAAGTGAAGACGACAGAATTGAGTATTTTCACTTTAGGTTTTCTTAGGGATGTAGTGTGAGGTAGGTATAAAGGAATTGTCCTTTGAAACAAGAAAGTGCTTTGAGGATCACGATGTGCATTCCCTCCTAATGTCTTTGAGTACTTGTTGTCTTTGGTTTGTGGCTGTTGAGGTCATCACATTCTAGGGACTCACAACAAAGCAGAAATGTCCTGAGCCTCTGCCTTTAAAGTCTTGATTTGAACTGGTTTGAGAAGGCCCAGGATTTCACACCGATGTTTACTCTGACAGTATATAGGTTAACGTTCAGAGCTTTTAGAATAGAAAGTGAAGTGACACACTTAACCCTGCTCTACAAAGTTACTGTAATCGCTTTGTTGTAGGCTTTATGGTTCCAGTGGTGATTGTGTTTTAGGTATGGTTGCAGCTGGCAAAAGTTAGAGAAGTCTGTTTTAAACTAGCTGGAGCCTAGAAACTTTGAGTTAAAGTAGCATGGCTTCTTGAGGCTACAAGGAGTTTGCATTTTTCTGTGAGAAAAAACGGTATTTTTGTTGATGTATGGTCCTTCGGTTAGTGTACCTCATTTACCTGTGGTCTTTCTGGTCAGGGTGATGAGTGGGCATTGCCTTAAGGTCTTTCCAACTTAGTTGATATCCAAAAGCTAGTTTTTTGATTACCCTATGAATATAATGTAATTCAAGAAATAGGTCTATGTAGGACTTAATACCCTACATAGGGTAGGGTATAAAGGGTTTAGCCAGTTCCTAAAGTAAATAGGACTCTGTTAAAGGCAAAAACTGTAATTTGTTACTAGGCTAAGAGCTTAGGTGTCTTAAATTAGATCCGAGATCAAAACTCAGCTGTACCTCTGACTAGTTATGTGATTTTAGGTTGTTTTTCAACCTCAAAAATCTAGACTTTCTTATCATTAAAATGGGGTTAAGCTGCCAGTCCAGGGCCGGGGAAATGGCTCGGTGAATAGAAGCACTAGCTGTGTAGGGAGACTGACAGTTCCATTAGGTCCCTGGAACCTGCATAAAAAACTGTCTGCAGTGGTGGCTTCTGTAATTCTAGCACTCCTAGGGGAGATGGGAGGCTGACACCAAGGATCACCTCGGAGCTGAAGATCAGCCAAACTTAATGTAGCACAGCGGCAATAAAGACCCTGCTTCAACAACATGGAAGTTGAGAACTACCTCCAGACCTCCATATTTGTCTTCAGCCCTCTTCTTCACACACATATATGTATGTTAATTAGAAAAGGAAGATAAGAAGCTGGATTAGTTAACACTTTGGCTGCTGTGACCAAATACATGCCAGGAAGCAACTTTCGAGAAGATGGTATATTTTGATGTACAGATCAGGGGAGGCGGTCCATTATGGTGGGGGAGGCTAATCACAGCCTATACTATGGGTGGGAGCAAAGAGAGATACTGGTGATGGGCTTGCTTTCTCATTTGTACTTAATATAGGATCCTACCCATTGAATGTGGGTGTCCCTATGGCATTCAGTGTGCCTCTTACCTTTTTAATGAAACCTCTGGAAGCGCCCTCATAGACACACCCAGGTGTGTGCCCCTGTGATTATAAGTCCACTGTGATTGGCAGTTGAGGATTACCATCTTACAGCCTTAAGTGTGGTTTTAGGAGAGGCAGGGTAAATTACTTATCCCATTGTTCCTGATGTACCACAGACTCACAGGAAGAACGTGTTGCAGTGAATACAGAGTAGGGTGGGAGGTCATTCTTTGAATAGCCTTCTGTCTATAGTTTCTGAAAATGAGAATGTGATCTCTAAGTTCTGATTAGAAACTAACATGTATACATTTAAAATGTTTACTTTTAATTATATGTGCATGTCTATGCCTGTGTTATGTGTGTGGGTGCCCTCGAAGGCCATAAGGGTGTGGACACAGACGCATCCCCCCAAGCTGGAGTACAGGTTTGTGAAGCTACCTGATGTGAATGTTGGGAACTGAACATGGTTACTGCAGACTGAATTCAAGTCTTCTGGAAGAACAGCAAGGACTCTTAACCCATGAACCATCTCTCCAGCCCTATATATTTTTCTTTTGAGGCAAGATCTTGCTACATAGTCTAGAGTGACCTTGAGTTTACTTGCATACGTGGTAGCCTTGGGACTCTGGCATCCCTCCTGCCTCAGCTTCCCTCGTTCTTTGGCATTACACCTAACTAAAACTAAAGCCTTTAAATAACAACTGCCAAATAATGGCCTTTTCACCCAATATTACTCTTTTAAGATATGCTAAGCAGCCTTGCAAGCACTGTACAAAAAAGGTGATTTCTTGATTCTTCAGCCTCTTAAATGGTCTTTGTATCAACAGGGTCTGCGTGTTGGAACATCTTTGGCAATCCTTTGTAGGATGGTTGATGCCTTTTTATTGAACTACTTGGTGATTAGAGGCATATGTTGTATCTTTGAGCCTTAATTTGTCATCTGCCTTTCTGTACAGAATTAGTGGGAAAAGTTAAAATTGTTTCAGTAGAGTTCTGGCAAAGCTTGCATGACAAACCTCAGTGTGTGAGGATATTAAACTTCTTTAAAAAGGTATGGATATGTGTAATGATAATTTTCAACTGACACTCCGGCCAGAACTTCGGATACTGACTTCAATCAACACAAGAACTTCAGTTAATATAAGGACTTCAACCTGGACCTTCAATCAAGCATCTCCCACCAGACACGGACTGGATTTAACCCATTCAGGACTTTCACTACACTAACATTTTTTAACACAGGATCCCACAAGGCTGTTGTTGTCCCAATTCAGCAGGAAGTAGCCTGGAGAATACTACACCCCCTTTCCCCATTGTTGACACCTAGTTAGGGCTAATTTCCTATTGTTTGAGGTTGAGTTTGGAAGGAGGTGTTCAAGCTTGGACATCTCTTTCAGATGATTTTAAGGTTTAGTTGAAATAGATATAGTAGATTATTATAACTTCTTGTTATTCACTCTTATGATAATGATAGATAATTTACACTGTTAAGTTTTAATCCTCTTGTAGACTAAAAGGGGAATTGTAGGGGGAAAATGCTGGCCACGCCCACTTGGGGGGCTGGCACAGGTGAGGAAGATCTGGCACACTTGGGTGTGGTCAGAGTGATGTAGCAAGACTTTAAATATGAGGGTTGCACGAATGCGGCTGTCTTTGTTCCCTCACCCACCTGGTTGTATAGGACTGACTCCGTCTGGTGACTCCATTGCAATCTGCATTAATTGCGTTTCACTTTAGATACGGATTTTTAAGAAAATACTGATTGTTAGGAGAGCATGGTGTTCTTTATGCCATTGATAATCTGAATCTGACCTAGCAGTATTTTTCACTCACTGTAGAGAGAGGGTTAGTAAAGCTACTAGAACACTTTAAAAATAGAATGCCTAAAAACTACTGATCTGAGCAGATAAGCCAAATGGAAATAGTAACTACTATGAGAAGAAAAGCTTGGGTTATTTAACAAAGCAAACAAAATAGCCGCATAGATAGTTACAGCTGTAGACTGTAGACTTGTGTGTTTGGGTGCTGGGCAGGGTTTGGAACAGGCAGGTTGAATTCAAGTCCTGTGTATGGTATGTGACATTGACATGTGCTAGTTAACAGAATCACACTTCTGTCTTGTGGTCTGAATCATGTACATAAAGAGCAGTTGGTCAGGTCCCATTTCCAAACCCTATAATCTTGGCACTTTTAACACGAGGTTACAGTGGTTGTGTGTGCTTTTTTCTAGGATGAATGACATGAATTTGAGCCCAGTGGGGATGGAGCAGCTGTCTTCATCCTCTGTGAGCAATGCCCTGCCAGTCTCAGGAAGTCACCTGGGTTTGGCTGCCTCTCCCTCTCACAGTGCTATCCCTGCCCCAGGT